TTCTGCAGTAAAAGCTGTTTGTGTGGCATTGCTTCCCGTCTGTGGTACTTACCAGGCACTTTTCACTTTGCATATAACTCATCCACAGAAAACAATGAAAAATAACAAATTTTTAATTACTCTATTTTTGTAATAAAACACTGTGGACCCAAGGAAATTTTTTTTCTAGAGTGGCAGTCAACGTGTTAAGCAAATTTTCTTCTCTGTGTGAAGTGCCACAGGTGTGTGTGCTTCAAAACCTCAAGTTCCTGCTCTTTGTGGTTGTAAGATACATTTTCCTACAGTCCCTTTCTGTCCCCTCCTTCTTCGTTCCCAGGAACTGCCCTCTTGGCCTTTATCTGTCACCTGCAGATTTGGTCCCTGCCTAACACACATGATACAACTATAAAGTTTCCCACATGATTTATAAGATGTAATTTCTGGTTTTATCTCATTCCTGTTACCAGGTGGCTTATAATGTCTTATTACTTTTTAATTTAGGATGAAATTTGCTTCCCTGGGTATTTCATTATGCTTCTTTCACCTAGTAAGATTTTTAGGCTATGATTGTTTCTGCTGTCCCTTCACATATACAATGCACTCTACCTCCTGCTCCTTTCTATCCTTTGCTCACAGTCTGTGAGTTGGCATCACAATATCCTCTGTCCACAGGGTCTATCTGAGATTGCAATTATGTTAAGATTTTACTTGATGTCATTTATTCAAATTAATATTTACCAGGCACTTACCATGCATAAGACCATGCACTTACCATGCACTTACCAGGCACTTACCACTCCATCACACTGGCCCTGCTTGGGAATTTTCCAAGCAAGGAGGCAAAGAACCAGGACAATAGTCCACCAAGAGGCCAGCCTTGATAGGTGGTAATAATGAGGAGCTGCAATCATTCTATTGCAAACTGGAAGACTACCTATTAGAGAGGAATTACTGAGGTAGAGTTTCTGAATAAGCTATGATTTCTTCCTAAAATGACAAGTGTAAAGATCTGCAAGAAAGAAAAATAGTCTAAGCTAGGTCCTTGGAGCAAAAGCATCAAATCATTTAAATAAATCTAATACATTGGAAAGATGTTTAGCAACACACATCGCATATATGTGAAAACTTATTTACACCTGCACTTAAAGGTTGTTGTGATTTTGGATTGTGTTAAGCAACATACCTGATGTGTGTGTAGACGCCGGCCTTTTTACCTCCTAAATATAATAATCATGGGCGTAAAAATGTCGGCACTTCACACAGGAGAAATGTTTGCATAACACGTTATGCACTCTGTAACAACAAGTTCTTGGTCACGTGTTTATTCAAAACTGCCAGTATTACCACAGGTGTGTGTGCTTCAAAACCTCAAGTTCCTGCTCTTTGTGGTTGTAAGATACATTTTCCTACAGTCCCTTTCTGTCCCCTCCTTCTTCGTTCCCAGGAACTGCCCTCCTGGCCTTTATCTGTCACCTGCAGATTTGGTCCCTGCCTAACACACATGATACAACTATAAAGTTTCCCACATGATTTATAAGATGTAATTTCTGGTTTTATCTCATTCCTGTTACCAGGTGGCTTATAATGTCTTATTACTTTTTAATTTAGGATGAAATTTGCTTCCCTGGGTATTTCATTATGCTTCTTTCACCTAGTAAGATTTTTAGGCTATGATTGTTTCTGCTGTCCCTTCACATATACAATGCACTCTACCTCCTGCTCCTTTCTATCCTTTGCTCACAGTCTGTGAGTTGGCATCACAATATCCTCTGTCCACAGGGTCTATCTGAGATTGCAATTATGTTAAGATTTTACTTGATGTCATTTATTCAAATTAATATTTACCAGGCACTTACCATGCATAAGGCACTATGCTATCCACTGTGGTGGAACAAAGACATTTAAAATAGTCTGAAAGAGTTCACAATCAAAGAATCCTAATGATCTTTTTTTTAAGCTTCCAATATTTCTTTGTAAACATTTATATGTTCGGACTTGGCTTTTCTTCTTCCACTTCCAATACCTATTTTTTGTGCCATGGGAAGATATCTACTCTGTCACCACTTTTAACTCAAGTAATCCAATAAATTCTCTCTGGGGTCCTCAAAAAGAGTCTCTGTTAATCTATTTTGTGTGTTTTTTCTTTCTCAGCTCTCTGCCAATTTTTAGAATAAAAATCGCCAACAGTTTGTGGTAGTATAGTGGTAGTGATGGGTGATTTAAGGGGTTTTGTTTGTAAACATTACATGTCACTTCGCTTAATTGGGTTATCTTCTTTCTTCATTCTCATCAAAGGACCAAACCACCACTTGCTATGGACTTGTTTTCATTTATTGGACAACTAAGGAGTTACAGACAGACTTGCTGATGAAGGGAAGAAGGGCTCCTAAATCTATTACTCTAGATAACAATTCCTAGTCAATACAGAGAGCAACTACCCCCACCCCCAAGCAAAAGCCAGTGATGAAAAGAGAAAAGCAAACTCGTTAGCTTTAGTTGGCACCTAGGCTACAAGGTGAGCAATGGGGCCAGGAAGAAGAGAAGAAAAAAGGTGGGAAAAAAGAGTAAGGATAAACATACCTACTGTTAGGAATCCAATATAGAATTTGGAACCCTACCAAGATCTAGTTTACACCAGAAATAGCATTTGTTTCTATGCTTATTTTTACGCCTTCCAAATACTTAACTGTTAAATAATAACCATTAATAAACCACCTGTTCAAAACCCTTTAAGTGCCTATTATAAGTGAAATATCGTGTGAGGTGCTAAACAAGCTAGGAGTAACATACAATTCCCATGCCTGTCTTCAAGAAAGTTACTGTGTAGCTGTAGCAATGAGAGACTATCAGTCAGTATAAGGAGTCACAAAAGGAGAAAAACAGGCATTAAGTACTGAAAAATTCAAAACAAGAAGGTGAGCATTGAGCTGTGGATATGAAAAGCTGAGCTCTATTTCCACTATTTCCTTGCTATGTCCTTTAAGTCGAGAGAGAGAGAGAGAGAGAGAGAGAGAGAGAGAGAGAGAGAATAGCAGAGAGGAGGAAGGAAGGGCAGGAGGAGGGTTAAGAAGGAAAGAAAAAGGAGGTCATCTTAGATGTAAAACAATATTTAGAATAATTACCAATGAGCTCCATTGTGACGCCCAAATTGAAGTCTACAATTAGCTATGGCCCCCTGAGCTGCCCTTCATTTCATAGACAAAGACATCTGGATCCAAATTTTCCCCAATTCAACAGCATGTCAGGGCTCAGAACCAAATCTTCCCATCCTGATGCAGTTTTATTTATTTTTTTGCACCAAATAGTGCATCTTTCAAATTGCTTATTGTGACTCACAGAAAAAGCTTAAAATACAGGGTGTCCCAAAAGTTGCCATACATAGGGAAAATGGGAAATTGTAGCGAAATGTACCTTTATTTACAAAATATTCACTACAAAATTTTACAAAAATTTTTCCTTTGTATGGAGATTTTTGAGACACCATGTATAATCTTGACAAGGTTTACTAAGTGAGAAAAATGTTTCTTTAAAAATATTAAATATCTTTGTATATGTGAAGATGAGGGGGAAGGAGCAATTCTACTTATTAGAAGGAACAAGGTGAGCAATCAATTCCTTAGGATCTGGAAGGCTATATATTCCCAGTCTACTGAAATACAATTCCCTCTGGCAGGGATGACTCGTTAAGCCATAACTATTTCGTAGGGGTTAATCACAGATATAAGTTGAGTGCAGGTAGCTGGGCAATGAGGGGACCCAATAGATGCGCCTGAACAGCGGGAAGAGGATCACAGAGGTGAAAAGCTGAACACACTTGCCTGGTTCACAGTATCGTCCGGTGCCATACCCAGGGCAGTGCGCCCTGCAGCCTCAGACTCTAGGCGCTCAGGTTCGCACGCTTGCGGGCATTCTATTGATTCACACTTGCGTCCTTCAACAGGTAGCGCCAATTACAGCCCCCAGAGCACGACCCCCCCGTGCACTGGCCAATACTGCTGTCGATCAAAAGCCTCACCTACTTTTCTAAATTCTCTCCTCCCCCTTTCATTGGCTTTACCTTTGGCCTATCGGCAAATTTCTTCCGCGCTTCTCTACCACAGAGCTTGGCCCTTCCGAGTCTAGGATTGGTGCCGAAGCTACTCCCGCCCTTTTACGTCCCGAGCACTCCGCCCCTTTCACCGCCCCGCACGGCAGAGGCAGAGGGGGCGGGGCGAGCGAGGGCCCGCTCGGGGGCGGGGCTTGCCTCCCACGGCGGGGGGGCGGAGCCTGTGGCGGAGCCCGCCTGCTCGGTTAGGACCTCGGAGAGCGCCCGGCGCCGCGACCAGAGGGACTGGAAGAAGCAGCCGGAGCCCGGCTGGACCGACGCCGGCGAGCCCGCCTCGCTCCGCGCCCTCGGCTTCCCAGGCTGGCAGGCGGTTGGTGGCGTCTGAGGAAGGTGCCTAAGTCCGGGGACGGATAGTCATCCCTTTGGGACGCCGTCGCTGCCGTCCAGCCGTGGCTCCCTCACACCTGTGTGTGTGAGAGCGTGAGGGCACCCGCGCGCGAATGCTTCTGTGGTCGTGTTTGTGTGTGTTGCGGCTGGGCGCGCGAACGTCTGTGTGAGGGTGTTTGTGTGTTCACGCGTCCACGGCGAGAGCCCCGCGCCTCGGCGCTGGGCCCGGGGGAGGGACGGCGGCCGCGGCGGCTGTGCGCGCCCCGCAGGCTGAGTCGGGGACTCGGCCGCAGCCGTCGCCGTCGCCGCCTCACGTCCCCCCTGAGAGCTGCCGCCGTGCTGCGGGGAGAGCGGACGGCGGGCGGGCGGGCGGGCGCAGCGCGGCTGCGGACAGGGGAGGAGGGAGGGGGCGGGAGATGGAGGGACGCGCGGTAGAAGACGGGGCGGCGGAGGGAAGGGGAAGCGGAGGCACGAGTGGAGGCACCTGGCGTGGCCGCGCGCCCCTCCCGTCGGCTGTTGCCGTGGGCCACTCGCAGATGTCCTGAGGTCTGGGCTGTTAGGGGTGGGGAATCAAGGCCTCTCCCCCGTTTCCTATGGAGGGAAAGGGGGCGATGAAGATCATGGGGGGGGGGCCTGGAAGGTGGTGGCAGAGTAAATACCAGCTCCCTCCAACATTGTTTTTCCGAAAATAGAATATTCTGAGCTGAGCATTTAGAAGAAAAGCCCGCCCTTAGGAGAAAGGCAGTCTTGGTCTGTTGGACTCTGGTTTGATTGTATAATAACGATGATATAATGCTAATGACGATGATGACACTGCCTTTTATTTTTACCCCAGTGCTGATAAAGCGTAGCTACAGCTGGGGCAGCTTGAAAATCTGATTTATGAGGAGGGAATACTGTTGCTTTTGGAGTTGTGTTTTATTTATCTATTTTTTTTAAGGATACGCTTTTTAGATTTAAAATTTGACGAAATGAAGCCTGACTCTTTTTTCCAGTCGATTATAGCAATACTCATAAAATGGGGACTGGCTACTACTGTCTTGATTAATGAAAAGATAAAGGCTTTTGCTCAGGTATAATTCCATGTATTAAGTCACCCCTTTCCCCGTTCTTTGAATTTCTCAACAGTGTTTAAAATGAAGAAGTTTAATTTCCGAAAAGTTTTGGATGGCTTAACTGCCTCCTCTCCTGGCAGTGGTAGCAGCAGTGGCAGTAACAGTGGTGGCGGGGCTGGAAGTGGTTCCATACATCCAGGAGGAGGGACTGCGGGGGTTCTCAGAGAAGAGATTCAGGAAACCCTGACTTCAGAGTACTTCCAGATTTGCAAGGTACGTTTTGAATTGGCTTAAGGCCTATTATTTCTTTATTATATGGTTGTGAGGAAACAAAGGGGAAAAACACTAGAGGGACTGGAAATTGTTGAGATGCCAGGATCAAAGAGAGTCTGGTGCAAAAACTCCTGTTGATAGATGAGTTTGAATTGTTAAAGGTATTTCAGGCATCAACTCAGCATCAACTTAAAAAGCAATGATAGTTTAAGGGGGAAATAAACACACATAAAAAGTAGAATTTGCAGGAGTTCCAATAGTGGACAAAATTTTTAATATTTATGTATAAGTAGGAAACTGAAGGAGAAAACAGTCATTTGGTTTCCTGTGTTGTCATTCAGAGAAACTAATTGTGATTTTATTTCACTGTTCAGTATAAATAAAGCTATTAACATGTTGCTGGAATTAAGTAGGTAATAGATAAATGTCTATTTAAAAGGGTCCAATGGCATTGCTTTAAAATTCTGAATAAAAACACCCCCCAGATTCTTAAACTCTTCATAAATACATAAACAAATGCAGAGGTTTAATACTTGGAAGAACTTGTATTTAATAATACTTGTAAGAACTCAAAATAGCCAGTGTTCTGGTTTAGTGAGAAAACATTTTAGGTAATTATACTTTGATTTTGAACTTCTAATGAATAGGCAAAAGACAGTTTCTGATGGGAAGAGAAGACTGAATTTACAAAACAAGCATTACATTAATGCATAGAGATATTGTTATACTTTCTGATGTAGAGTGATTTATATAATTTTATTGTCCTTTCTTGGGGATGCCTTGGAATGTGCTTTTGACCTACTATATGCAATAAAAAAGCTACTAAGTCATTGATGTGATAGAAATGAACATAGTTTTTAAATGTGTTTTACTAAATAAGAAAAAACAGAAAACTTGTGAAATCACAGAAATTATCACATTTTTTGACACTTCAAGTTTTAAAAAAAATTACAAAAATTATTTTTGTACTAATCAAATGATATATAAGTTTCAATCATTGCCTCAGCCTCTCTTTCTAGCAGGATCATTATTAAAACATTAAACCTATAGTTATTTGTTTACATAAAAGCAAGTTTAGGCTTGATAAGCAAATTTAATTTTAACCTACCCTGTGAAATTTGTATACAATAGTCATTTTTTCCTCAATATGAAGTAATAGATATTCTATAAGATTAGGGAAAGGCTTAATATTGGTCATGAGATGAATGTATAAAAGAGCATAATGTATAAAAGAATGCATAAAAGGCCAAATTTGAACTGCTATGCATGGGAATTATGCCCTAATTTTTAAATTTTTGACATATTGCTATTTTCATTAAGATTCTGGAAGATTCTGGAAAAAATTTCCAAATTCAGTCCATGGATGTGATAGTGATACAGGAGAATTTTAGTAGAGGTAAAATCGGCATAGAAAACAGACTGCTGAAGCAGAATGGCATTGGGCTGTTGAGGTTGTAAAGCTGGTAGGGAAGGTTTTAAATACAAAAATTTAAATTTTCAGGGAAATGGGTAAATGCAAGGGGGGGAAATGGAATAAAATATAGCCATCTTCCTATGTATTCAGACAAGAGATGGCCATAGGATGTGGCAGAAGTTAAATACATACTACTTCAAAAACATACGGCATGGTAAGAAGAGCATTAGCCTAGGAACCAGGTAATTTGTGTTTTATTTAAAGCTCTGCCACTTGGCAGCGATATAATCTTAGGCAAGCCATTTATCTCCCTTGAGCCTCAATTTCTGCATCTGTAGTATAGAAATAAGTATTTCTGCTCTCCATAACTAAAAAAGAGTTATTGGGATGATCAGACAAGACAATAAAATGAAGGCAATGTGTAAATGGAAAGGGTGATAAAGTGTTATTGTTAAAGTTTTAAAAATCATATGTTCATGGTAGAATGAATGTAACCAGTGGGATATAATAATATTAGGTTATAATTTTCAAATAAATCATAGGCATAGATAGCTATGTAAGCTGTGCACTAATAGTACTGAAGTCTTACTAAATGCAGAAAATAATATGGCATCTTTGGATAGGAATATATTTAATTTTAAAAAGTGGTTGTATTACTGTATTATAGGTTACCTGGTTTATTATAAAGTATATAAAAATGGATTAAGGAAATTCCAAAATTAGAACTGTTACTGAAATGGGGACTTCATTTAGACTCACTGATTAAATGTGCAAAGAACATTCTATTCTAAGTACAAAGGAGTTGGCACCTTCTGGGTACTTTTACCTTATCAACATGACCAAAATTAAAATATAAATCAAGACTCTACTCTTTTGAAAACTATTCTCCTCTTTATCATCTGATCAGTCTCTATTCTGTTTCCTTGCTATTTCCAAAATTTGTGTCCTTTTCTCTATTCCCCCAGTACTTGTTCATTCCATCATATTTTCTTGCTTGGTCTCTTGAACTCACTTACTAACTGATCTCTTCACTTCTTGTTTTACCTTATTATACTTCATTTTGTTATAATAATGGCTATTTTGGAAATATAATTTTAATTATGTCATTTCCCTGCTAAAATTTTATGTAGGTTTTTCTAGAGCAGTGATGCTCTTTAAACAAAAGTCTTATGTGAAACTTCAGCAAATAACATTTATTTAAACAAAAAAGTGGTACTTTATTGACATACATTTATTTTATAAATTGTAAGAGTAAATTATACAGGCAACCAATACAAAATTTTTTATATTCATTTTTTGTTGTGCAGTGTCTTCTATAGGTAGGTAGTAGGGTATTTATTAGCCTTAAAAAGTTAAAGTATAAAGCTGCACCCTTCATAATCAATGACATATCTAAAAGATGTTCAAAACCACAGAAATGACAGAAGCAGCTTTGGTTCAAGGTCAGCAAAAAACAAATGAATGCATTAGGTTACTGTAATCTGTTTAAAGTTCAGTACGTATGCATTTGAATGCCCATGTTTTTCAGGTATCTGTGAGATACATGAACTGCTTTTCCTGAACTTGAATTCTATGAAACACAATTTGAAACCACTGCTATATACAATAAATTTCAAACTGCTTAACTTGGATTGTATATAGTAGTTCCCTTTAGAAGGAATTCCTGTTTACCCTTCCATTCTCATTTCCTTGATTCCCTAGGCATACTGCATTCCCTGAAAGCACCATATTTTCTCATATCTCAATGCTTTTACTTATTCTATTGCTTCTGAGTAGAATGTCTTTTCCATCTTTCATATAATTGGAGAACTCCCAGTTACCCTTTACTTCATAGTTCAAACATCACCTCCATGAGACCAATTCTAACTACTGCCTTCTCATTTATCCACCAGGGTTATTTTATTTTATTTTATTTTTTCCTCTTCTCTGTTTTCCTATAGCACCGGTATATAGCTATAGTGTGAGCTTAGCACCTTCTTGTGACTAAAATAATTAAAAAAAAATCTATTACTACTATTATATGATGAACTCTTTGAGAAGTAAATTTTTTTTTGGCGGTGGTGTTTTGTTTTGTTATCATTGTTAGTGTGTCCACTACCTAGCAGGCTAATTGTTCTCAATTCTGGCTGAGAGATTTCCAATACAACCCCTGTCTTAGAGGACCAGAATCTCTAGGGATGGGTCCTAGATACTTGCATTTTTTTTAAAAGGCCCCACTGGAGATTCTGATATACAGTCAATGTTGAGAACCATTTATAATAGGCACTCAGTATACTTTTTGAATGCATGAAGCAGCATTATATATGTATGGTTGGTTGATTAATTGAAAAGATATTAAAACAGAAAGCTATTAATAGTAATATATGTAAGCATTTAAATATACATCAATTTATAAATCACTTGATAAATGACTGAGATATTTTTGTTGAGTATTGGTTCTCTAATTGGAGTTCTGTGTGGACTTCGCTTCCATAAACCACCCCAAATGCATATGTACAGTTTTCAGTTTTGGTTTATTTAAAGTAGAGTAAGAACTTACATGCTTTTGAGGCAAACCAAGTGTCAAATCTTCTAGATTATTTATATAGTCCTGTGGCTTAACAACAGTGGTACATTGTAAGAAATGCATTCTTAGGCAATTTTGTCATTGTATAAACATCATGGAGTGTACTTACACACACCTAGATGGTATAGCCTACTATATACCTAGGCTAAATGGTATAGCCTATTGTTCCTATACTACAAACCTGTACAGGATGTTGTATTGTATACTGTGATAATTGCAACACAGTAGCAAGTATTTGTGTATTTAAATCTATATAAACATAGAGAAGGTACAGTAAAACACAGTATAAAAATAAAAAGTGATGCACCTGTGTAGGGTACTTATCATGAATGGAGCTTGCAGGAGTGGAAGTTGCTTTGTTGAGTCAGTGAGTGAATGGTGAGTGAATGTGAAGGCCTAGGGCCTAGGGCATCACTGTACACTTTTTTTTTTTATTATTTCGGCATATTATGGGGGTACAGATTTTAAGGTTTCAATAAATGCCCATTTCCCTCCTCCCCAAAGTCTGAGTCTCCATCATGACCATCCCCAGATGGTGCACATCTCACTCATTATGTATGTATATACCGCCCCCCTCCCCTCCCACCTGCCAATACCCTATTACTGTAGTACCTATGTGTCCACTTAGGTACTACTCAGTTAATACCAGTTTGCTGGAGAATATATCTGGTGCTAGTTTTTCCATTCTTGGGATACTTCACTTAGTAGTATGGGTTCCAGCTCTAACCAGGAAAATATAAGATGTGCTATATCGCCATTGTTTCTTAGAGCTGAATAGTACTCCATGGTATATATATACCACATTTTATTAATCCATTCTTGGATTGATGGGCACTTGGGCTGTTTCCACAGCCTTGCAATTATGAATTGTGCTGCTATAAACATTCGTGCAGGTGTCTTTTTTGTAGAGTGTCATTGGATCATTTGGGTAGATGCCCAGCAATGGGATTGCTGGATCAAATGGTAGATTCACTTGTATCGCTTTAAGGTATCTCCATATTGCTTTCCACAGAGGTTGAA